GGATCGGCGGCGCGAGGAGGGGGAGGAGGGAAGGACTTGCTCCGACACTTCAACGTCTATCTGCACTAGGGGCGCGCTGACATCACATCACACAGCTCGTGCGACAGGTGGTTGCCCGTAGTGCATTTTCGGTCGCTCGAGTATTGCCACCCGATGCCTCCTAACGACAAAGTTCGATCTTCAGCGGCACGGTTACACAAAGTTCGATCTTGATCGGCACGGTTACACAAAGTTCGATGTGCAGCGGCACGGTTACACAAAGTTCGATCTGCTTTTTGCCGCTCGCCGAAGCCGCAAGTTTAGACCTCTACTACAGTCTTGTTGTGATAGCATTCAATTTTTTCTTTGGAGTATGTTGTTCTTTGATCTTTTACAAATATGAAGCAGTTTTTACTTTTTTTCTATCTCCAATATTGACGAGAATATGAATACATTTAGGCTGCGCGGCAGAAACCGCCGGAATGTAGATCGAACTTTGTGTAACCGGGCCGCCGCAGATCGAACTTTGTGTAACCGGGCCGCTGAAGATCGAACTTTGTGTAACCGGGCCGCTGAAGATCGAACTTTGTGTAACCGTGCCGCTGAAGATCGAACTTTGTCGTTAGGAGGCATCGCACCGCTGCCATGGGGGTTCACGTCCACTCGAGTCTGGCCATGCCTGGACCTCCCATCGTGTCTCCTCGATACAATGCGACAGGGCGATTCGCCAGCCCAAAGTTCCATAGACCCGGCCTTTTACTTCACAACCTGTGAAAGTGAACACTCTCCTTGCGTATGAGGAATCTTAGAGTGTGGCATTCGGATTCTGGCAATGTTCAGTATAGGAACCGCGTGGCGGGCTTCCTACACTCGCACACGTGAGTCCAGATCTCGCACCAGTTCAAACGATTCAAACCCAGAGGCTTCCGCCGCGCCGCGCTCCTCGCGCCGCGGCCAGCAGCGCAGCGCTCCCTGGCGGCGCCTGCCCGAACCGCTGGCCGCTGCCGACTCGGCGGCTCGGTCGACTCGACTCCGCCACGCGGTCAACGCGCCGGCTCGTAGGGCTGTCAATGGGAACGAAGCAACGAACGACACCATAAGTGCGATAGATTGGGAAAAGCGGTAAAGAGTACCGGGTAAACGCAGCATCAGATTAGAAAAGAACAATTTAAAAAAAATATTTTTCACACTGCCCATTAAGAATGAATGGTTTCGCTATAACGAAACTGTTCGCATGCCGGGGAAGGCCAGGGATGCTATAGTAGCACCTTTACCGTAAAAATTAATTACATCTCGACATGGTACAGTAGTTCCTACTTATGTAAACGTTTGCGCTACTACGCCTTCATCGCACGCATTATTTTTTGTCTTCGGGAGACTGAAGTTGAATTGGAGCGTTGTGGTTCTCACCTGGTCAGGTGGCCGCCGGGGTGGTAGGCAACCCATCGTGCCCGTTGACATTCGTTTGCATGGCTCAGTGGCTGTGAGTAAGCATATGCGGTGACATTGCATGAGCGGCAAGATGTGCAGAAAGCTGCGGGTGCGACCCTGACGGGGGCCAGCCTGCCGCGCCCCCTCCGCGAGTATGAGAAAGTCGTCTCTTCTTCCCGCGCCACCCACCGGTATGGCGTGTCGACGAGGAGCAGCATGCAGTTAGTGGGGAGGCTGCACGGCCGCGCTGCACCGAGGAGGGTTCGACAGGTGTTCTGCGGGGATAATGCAAATGACACTGACCCTCTTTGGACTGTCTCCACCTGAGGGTAAAGTGCCCCCGCCCCCATTTTCCCATCGATCTTTACGCCGGGGAATGACCACTATTGGTCACCCATCGTGTTCGATCATGAGGGATAGTAGCACACCGCATTCGATGGGTCACCTGTCAACAGGAATGGCGGGTTGTGGCACCCTCAAGAAAGTCTTTCTTGAAGACCCCTTCTTTTATTTTGTTACCTATTCGCACGGGGCGCCTCTTTCCGCCACGGCCTCTTACCTGTGGCCTGGACAGCGCCGCTAGGCACACCCGCCCGCACCGTGCAGGCGGTACAGTAAAACTACCAAAGTGGGCGGCGTGAGTCAGCCACTTGGTAAAATTGGCCCAATAATGTAAATGTGCTATCCCTTTCTTTTGTTTTGAGGGTAGACGACCTGGAAACCTAACACCCAGCCACTGTTCAGCTTCAAAACCCTCTTGCAGTTTTTGGTTTCCCGTCAAAACTTCGCCTTACGTATATGTATAAAGCAGTTCCAGGGACGAGAGGATGCAGTGGCTTGATTTCAAGGGCTCCAGCTGCCGTGCGTGAGGCCGGGTTAGGTCGTGGGGACGCGGTGGGGCGTGGCGGGGCGTGGCGGGGAGGACGCGGGGGAGGATGCGACTGGACAATGTTTGGATGTCCCGCCCCGTCGTCGCCGTGGCATGTCGTGTGTGTTCGTGTGTGCAGCCACGCATGCGCAGCATATTCTTTATATTTTGGGTGTCAAGGTGAGCCTTGGGAAGAGCGGTGCCTTCTGCCACTCACAAAATAGTCCGCTGCCTTCCCAAAATAATAAGCAAAACTGACGGAGCGACGGAGCACCTCCCCCCTCTTTCCTCCTCAAAAAATAAAACAAAAGAACAAAAAAATACAGCAGATATAATGTGGTAGTGTAACAATCGAACAACGAAACGTTAAACCGAAAAAATGTCTATAAACGAGTTCTGATATTCTGACAGCTATACCCCACTTGTAAACGGTGTAATTTCGGAGTACCCAAAGCTACAATGGGCTACTCCAGAGGCGTTAATGTAAATCATTAGATTGCACTGCGCATACTCTAAAAACTTATATTGCGAAATCAGCCGTGAATTGACAGCGAGGCTGATCCTTCAAACCTCGTTCGACCATAATTCCTGCAAGAACTACCATGACAGTGTACTGTACTGACTGTACTGTGAAGTGTGACTTTTATGTTCCGTGTTCCACGTTTGTGCTCATGTTCATATTTTATGTTGAGTATATACCAGGTGGCTGACTCACGCCGCGCACTTTCGTAGTCATACTGTACCGTACGCAAGCGAGCGGACGGGTTGCCTACTCGCACGGCGCCATTAGGAGCCGTGGACAGCGAGCATAGGCAAACCCGCCTGCACCCGTGCATGCCATACAGTGTAACCACGGAGTAAAATGAAGTACTCCGTGGTATAACTGCAAAAGTGTGGGGCGTGGGTCAGCCACCTCCTGGTGCGTTGCTGCGTACAAGGGCTGGCTGGCTGATGGACCCTTTCCTTTTGTAGTTTACTGTGCCGCATTATGTACCTGTGGGAGGGTTGCCTATTGGCTCGGGGCCGTGAGGCGCAGTTGTCGCAGAGACGTTACGCCCCTCCGCGTGCACTCCTGCAATAGCATTACTACGGAAATGGACGGTGTCAATGATCCACCCGGTACAGCACCATTTATATGATTTTTTTTTTTAAATGCCGTTTTACCTTTCCTTACTTTTTACCTGCAGGATCAAACTTTGACACACTTCGGTTTGACGATATACCATCGATAAGTAAATCGATCGCAATCGACTAATAGGAGTCCCTTGGCGTCTGCGCTGACCAGACGCACGCGAGTCCTCGGAGGACGCAGGACGCCCCCCACCCCCCCTCCCTGGATTGCACTCCCCACTTCGCGCTGCTTGGACTTCCCTTGGTTCCCCTCCTCCTCGTCTCCAACATGATAGCCAACGTCCAGGCCGAGGTATATAACGACGGCCTGGACATGGCATCGTCACTCAGTCCTGCTCAGCCCAGCGACCAGCGACATCAACCACAGCCATGGCGAACGGAACCCTCCGAGTGCTGGTGTGTATCTTTTGTCGCACCCCCGAGCTGCGGACCTGCTGACCAGCTTTCAGTGACTTGAGAGCGAAAATATTTTAAAGTTTGGAGTGTTAAGCCTTTAGCTTTTTCGAGCACTTTATTTCTTCCTCACCGACGACAGTCCACTCAGCACTTTCATGTGGATATAAACATGATCAGCTCATTTGAAAAGTGGCGGGCCTGCAGTCGGTTGAACCGGGCCGGCCCCGCACCCCACAGACGCTGACCCGCGGCATGCACGCGCCCGTCGGGGTGTGACGGTGTGACGGTCCCCATCGCGTGCCGTGCTCCGGTCCCACGCCGTCACTTGCCGCCCCCTGTCCCGATAAGTGACGAGGTGTCAGTGCGCGCGTGCCCTTGGCCTTGTGTTGTGTTGTGCGCCGCGACATCCTAACTATTTCGTCCTCTCTTAATTTTGCATTTGCGTCGCCGTCTTCTCCCCCAGGTGCTCGCCGCGGTGGCCTGCGCGGTGATGAGCTCGACCAACGGTCTGCCGCGGCCGGCCCCCGGCCCAGCGCCCGCCCCCCGCCCCGCCGGCCCCGCCCCCGCTGGACTCGCCCCCGGTGGTGCCCCCGGCGGCGCCGAGGCCGACGCGCAGGGCAGCGGTGACCTCAAGACGGCCGCCTCGCACTACGGCGGCTACGGCGGCTACGGCGGATGGGGCGGCTACGGCTACGGCGGCTACGGGGGCTACGGCGGCTACGGCTGGGGCTACCCCCACCGCGTGTACGGTCTGTACGGAGGTGAGGAAGCGTCCGGCGCCAACCCCTTCCCCACCCCTACCTCGTCCCACCCCTTCCTCATGAAAGCCCTCGTGTTCCAGGCTACCCCTTCGACGGCTACTACGGATGGGGCCATGGCGGCTACGGCTACCCCTTCTTCCACTGAGGCCCTCTCACCGACTTCCACCACGACCATCGCTACCACCTCTACCGAGCTCTCTCCGACGACTCTGCTACCCACCAACGAAGACATTTGCAAATAAAGCCTCGTGTTTAAAACACAGCTGTTTCTTGTCCTCATTTCGAGACACCGCCCCTCTAGCCCTCCTAGAATCAGCTGACGGTGCTCCTCCCGGTCCCCGCCGTCGGGCCGAGCCGGCCGCCTCGGCGGATGCGTAGGCGCTCAGTGGCCGCGCCCACGGCGCGCCTGAGCTCGCCGAGACAACGCTCCTCTCCACAAAGCAGCTGCCTGGCCGCTCGGCCGCTATGAAGGGGATATAGCTCAGTGGTAGAGCATTCGACTGCAGATCGAGAGGTCCCCGGTTCAAACCCGGGTGTCCCCTTCCAAT